CCACACAGACACAGTGATTACTTTGTCAAAGTGCTTCCACACAGACACAGTGATTACTTTGTCAAAGTGCTTCCACACAGACACAGTGATCACTTTGTCAAAGTTCTTCCATACAGAAACACGGATTACTTTGTCAAAGTCCTTCCATACAGAATCAGTGATTACTTTGTCAAAGTCCTTCCATACAGAAACAGTGATTACTTTGTCACAGTCCTTCCATACAGAAACAGTGATTACTTTGTCAAAGTCCTTCCATACAGAAACAGTGATTACTTTGTCAAAGTCCTTCCACACAGACACGGTGATTACTTTGTCAAAGTCCTTCCACACAGAAACGGTGATTACTTTGTCAAAGTCCTTCCATACAGAAACAGTGATTACTTTGTCAAAGTCCTTTTATACAGAATCAGTGATTACTTTGTCAAAGTCCTTCCACACAGAACAGTGATTACTTTGTCAAAGTCCTTCCATACAGAAACAGTGATTACTTTGTCAAAGTCCTTCCATACAGAAACTGTGATTACTTTGACAAAGTCCTTCCATACAGAAACAGTGATTATTTTGACAAAGTTCTTCCATACAGAAATGGTGATTACTTTGTCAAAGTCCTTCCATACAGAAACGGCGATTACTTTGTCAAAGTCCTTCCATACAGAAACAGTGATTACTTTGTCAAAGTCCTTCCATACAGAAACAGTGATTACTTTGTCAAAGTCCACACAGAAAAAAAGTGATCACTTCGTTACAGTTTTCATGCTGAAACATCGATCACTTTGTTAAAGGTCATTCATTCAGAACAGTGCAAAATGTTTTCTGTAAATTACAGATGCATTAAATCGTAGGTTGGAGCAAACATAATCAGTGCAAAAACAAATGCCGAAAAATCTACACTGTGGGCATACTGCTCAAGAATTGCGTTTATAAACTGTTTGTTGTGTCTTTGACACGAATCTATATTTGATCAATTGTGTTTAATTTCAATTTTCCCTTCATGACTAGTTGTGTCAACATAATAATATTGAAAATTTGAATCTATCATATTGGAAATAACATTCTATTTAATTCATCTGGATAAAACCAAAAGTATTTCTTGACATGTTGGAAACCTACTACCCCAGGTCCAGTTGAAATTTAAAACTCGATATATTGAGATCATTCTCATTTAATTTACAGTTTTCAATTTCATATACATGATCAACCATGTACATTTCATATAGTTTATCATTTTTAACATCTAAAAAAACCTTGTAAACAAAGATATCTTATCAAAATTACATACAAAATATCAGATAAACACCGCTTCATTATAATATATTCACCAAACCATAGTTTATTTATATATTTATATATAGCAATTACTGGTATGATTTCATTTAAATATAAAATCAATATAGTCACGTACTATTACTACAATTAGCTCTAATATATTTTGCTTTATCATTAAGCCATGCTTATCAAGGGGCATGATTATCTATTAGTTGCTATATTATCT